GATGTTCCGAACAGATTAGATTTTCCATTTTAACCGCCTTCTGTGTACGGCCGCACAGAGCACGAAGGCCTCAAGTGTCACATCAGTGATGTCCCTTCTTCCTTTATCGAGGAAAATTACTTTAGTGAAATTCTTTTTTCCATTTCTATTTCCCGTATTTCAAACAACATCACTTGGGGTAAGATTTTCATCCGAACTTCGGCAAATCCGAACTAAACAACACACCGGAAACAGTAGGTGTTATCTATATTCTTCCAAGTTTTAATTTCCTATATAATTTTTTCGTGTTATACCCGCCGTATTTTATCCCAGTTAAGTATATTTTGATGTATTAGCCGGAGGAGACGAATCACTGGAAGAAAGTATTGTTTGTTACATTGTGTTCTATTCAAGTCAAGTCAGTAGTAGCTTTACGCACCCGGATGGGTGTATTTTCAGCAATTACACCATATTTGTGGATTCAAATTTACAAAATCGTACATAGCGAACACAATGAAAGCAGTAGATACTGTGTTTCTCAATAAAGCAAGCAATTGCGCAATTCTGTGGAAATTGTGTCCTTGTCTATAAGTAGACGTGCTAGATATGGCAGAACAGAATTGCGATAAGCTTGTCGGTGGTTTAATGGGACAAAATAATTCATCTCAAAAGTATTTCGACCCAGATGGTCTCTCTCCGTTGGCTTCTAAGGATGGAGGGTCAACCTTGGTTTTGTAGTTGACGAAACTCCTGGGCTCAATATGAGAGAGGGAACAGGTTCCGACTTAATCGGTCATCCTACCGATTTACAAGAAAAGCGATAGATCCGTATGCGCAAAATACAGGGGAATTAGTTCTATCAATATGGTCTCTAAACTTCTCGCTGATTTTATGCTCCGTCGATTGTCTACCGCACGCGAACGGTGCACGAGTGAAAGCCGGTTTTAGACTTGGTCAATTTGTACTTGCTACCTTAAAACACTTGAAGCATCGTCGCCCGGTTGTCCGTGAAGGGTCGACTGTATGCTGCGGCTGTTCGGCCAGTTTGGAAAACCAAAACCGAAACTGCTACACGGTGCAGAAACTTGCCTATTATAAGAATGGGATAAAAATAAGCTGTTGGTGTTCAAGCACCGTTGTGTACGCAGCATTGCGTGAATCTGGCATTGCAACCGGACGAGCAATGCTGAGGATAGACGGAGAGTTTAGGTAACCGCGGTAGCCCAAGTGGTTGACTTCCATAACTAGTGCTGTTTGGGACACGTATTATGCACGTCACCAAATAGGTTGTCGCAGTGCGCGATGTTTGCTGGTGGGGAAGGTAAGGGGTGTTCAAAATAGGACCTAGCATGAGGGTATAAAAACCCTGATCAGTAGGCTTGCTCACACAGGTTGCCCTGGGCCCCGTGAATAGGGTCCTCGGGATCATTTTAATCGATGGTTAGAGGCATTGACCAATTTTTCTGAGTTTCATTCGCGGTGGCGCTCGTGATTTTCCTGATTGTCCTTGCAATCTTAATCCGCATAAATTCCGTATTTCGGCCTTCACTGTCCTCTCGAAATTCCATTCTTCCTTCTCTCCTTTCGTTCGAACGTGCAACCAAAAACCGGCGCACGAAAGTACATGGTCATTGGTTGTAAAAACTGAAACTAAAACTGGTCCATATATCTGTTTCTAACTGTTTGATTTATTCCTATCATGATTGCATTTTACTGCCACACCACTGGGATATTAAAGCATATGGAGGAAACATTTCTCTGTTTCACGAACACAATGAGCGTTTACTTGACCGCCAGTCATGTGACTTATCTCTTTGTAGTGATTCACTCTAGTCCTTGGATATCAAATCAGACTACTGCTATCGTGACGGTTCTTGTTAATTTCGCTTTACTTTTAACGTTCACTGGGATTCAGTTGCTGTGAGGTGTGACAAAGCCCATAGGAAACACCATGGGCGTTTGATTATGGTACGCTTACTTAACTTGCGGTAAATAGTACTGTAGCATTTTGAATCAACATTGTCGTGGATTGTGTCAAAATTTGTTCGCTACGCGTTACTCAAACGTTTACTTGACCGGCTATTTTGGCGTCATCATGGCATTCGTCGTTCGTCGGGACACACTACTGCTCCATGATGTAAAAGCCGGTTTCGAAGAATAGCTGAACGAAACAGTTGCAAGGCCAGGACGAGTAATCACTAAATGATGGTAACCCTACGAAAGTACTTGGGGCCTGCTAGTGATCAGTTCAGTTCCCACAAAACGGTATGTGGCTTCCATCCAATCGAGCTTCCAGATCCCTGTGTTGTTAGCACATGCTTTTAGCTTCCAACACTGTGTAGTTGGTATTTTCACCGTCAGAGAGCCAGTTGGTGTCGGTGTTCAAACTGCGACGTTTCTTGTTTACGGGGGTGAGACCAGTCCTTGGTGAGCGCTCCCAGTTCAGTTGTGAAAGTGAACATGTGGACACAGCAGTTCAGGCATGGAGCAAGCTTTCCTNGGGACAGAGACTGGCGTTTATACCTGGAAATGTTAATCACGGACAAGTTCAACGTGGTCTGCATAAACTGGCGCCCATACTTCCACTTAAACATGTTTAGCTTCAGGCGTCAAGTTCATGCATTCCTATTTACACTTAATTTGCATTTGTTTTTCGAGGTTTGCGTTCTTGTATTGTAAAGTGAATGTTTGTTTGTTAGGCATCTCACTGCCTCCTATACCACCAGTCAGCTGAATAATTATCCTTTTAATCTCCATAAAGGTATGGTCAATTCTGATTGGAAATCAATTGAACATTGATAAAGAGTTGTACAATCAGTGCCTTCGAATGAGCGACCAAAGTGTGTCATCGATAGCGTATGTTTGCTCTTCCGGATACCCATCCGTGATGTGGGATGATTTTCTCAAGACCGATACCTCTGTGGATTGTCGCACCTGCTCGCTGCTGTTGACAAAAATCAATAGCACTCCAATTCGCCAAGAATTAAGTTTTTCTTGTCCCCATATCCGGATCGATTCTCTACTGTCGTCCGAGTATGCGTCATTTTTCAGTGGAAATGCACACATATGCTCCGGTTAGTGTTCATTTTGTTTATTCAGATGTAACCTCGTAACTTGGTTCATTTGTATCCGAATTCCCCAACTATCCGCCACCCCACCCCACCCCCGAGCGCATACCCTTTATTTTTTATGTCCAATTATTTGAGCTGTACTTCAGTACACCCCATTTAGCCCCCATAGGTGCGATCCATGATTGAGGGATGTTGCTTTATTTGGGGTTGGTGAAATTGCTCGTGCAATCTGTGAGCGACCGAAACTGATTTGTTTGGCCTCAGTATTTATCATCGGTGTTAGCTGACTTTGTTTTCTCTCGTCAGTACAAATAGAAAACAAATCCTGTTAGATGGTGACATTTCGATTATTTTTTTCAATGGTTTGCACAAAACAATCTGCAATTGATGCTACATTGCGTTAGCAACTAAAGTGAACGAACATGTGAAAGGTTATGGGGGTAGGTTGTACAACTGAGACGGAACTGAGGTTGTACCCAAGGTGACCAAAGCTTTTTTTCAGTTTTATGCACATAGAACTGGGTTATGCAATCGGATTAGCACTGTTTTAATCAATACCAACAGCTTCGGATTAGGATTACGAATGACGCTGAATAAGGTGAAATCGAGTTTATCGTTTGATTTGTTGCGATCAGATGTCGCTGACCCTGCATTTCGACCTGGGCAGTCACCAAATATCCATATTACGTCAACTTCATGTTTCTATATCGAATGTGATAATCTTTACTTCGTTCTGCCCTCCACATACACCTGACCTTCATGCGTACCAGATAGATATCAGTCTCATGTTTAGTCTCTAGTCTGGGAGAATTTCATTGCTTTTGTTTACTCGTGATTTGTGCCCTCTGTGCCTTGCAAAACTCCCTTCAGAACACAACTCCCCATTTGCTGTTTCTTTTTCGTCAGTCCACCAAAATGCTTTGATCATTTGATTTCGGTCACATTAAGGGTTAGTCTTTTTGGAGTTGAGTGTTGTTCTCCATGCTCTTGATTAGCGCGGAACTTTCGTCTCTTCGGACATCGCTGTTTGATGTTGAACTTGACATTATAGAATTTCTTCTTCCTCAATGGTACTTCTCAAACGCGGGACAACTGGATCACATTTACTTACTCCTGTTGCGTTGAGTTAGTACTACTTGTGAGACTTTGCAACGCGAGAATGTACCATTTCGAGGCGTCCTTTGAAACCAGCAAGGCTCGTTAACTTGTTAACAAATGATAACAAAGATCGCAGATAAACGATGTGAGTGATCAAAATAATAACTGACCTAATCGAGTCCTTGATCAAGCGTGCCCCGATCTCAGTGAAGGTGGATGACACTGATACATGTTGGCCTGTGATAGTCCCCTTTGTGACTTGTCTGTGCTGTTTTCACGCTGCTAACACAGTACCTTCCATAACTTGTGACGGACTTGGCCCCGTAGTTGTTTGCAATAGGAATCCGTCTTGATGTGTGGTTGTTGTTGCTCTTACTGCAGTTGACGCCTTGGAAAGGATAATCCAGCTTCATGAATGTGTACGGTTGCAACTTTCCATGCAGATCAGCATGAATAAATGAGCAGATAAAACTGCACGAGATTCTGGTGCAAGAGACGCCCTCAGATTCACGTGGCTTATTTCGAGGGGGCACCTCTGGCGTTGACGTCAACTAATGCGCGGCGGCAGTGTGCTTGTGTATGCGAGTTCGTGGTTCCCTAGGAGCTCATTCAGCATTCTACTGATTTAGATATGGACCAGGGACCTATGCAACCCTCTTGGATGGATCGGGTTTCAAGTATTATCTGGAAACTGGAGAAAAACTCTCTTAGCATACCGTATGCATACGCACTGAGTTTTGACCACCTCGGTTAGCCCTGAATTAGTTTAATCCGTCCTTCTAGCGGGATGTATCCGATCGTGATTACCGATGCATGCATGCCTCGAGTTCTCCGGGCCACAGGTGAGGGACCGAAAGTATAAAACCTACTTAGACGGATATGACAGTGCCCAGCTCAGTGGAGTTTTTCCTATCAGCCCCAGCTCCTTAAACACCGACGAACCATTGTAGTTATTGGTCATGAAATAGCTTCTCTGGTCCCCATGTGCAAAATAATCATGTTGGGTCTAGGGCTACAAGGACGCCAATTTTCTGCTACTGCATCTACTACGCTTTTTTCATCGTCTTTTGTGTTGGCACCTAATAAGCATTACTTCAGTAGTTTACTGCTCCTTCCTTTGCCTAACCATTTCCATGTGACTTTATCTTCCGTGGAATTTCCTCTACTCCGTTTTCCAGACCGTTCCACGTGTCTAAGATCAGTGAAGCATGACATATCACTCACTTTTCACGCACTGAGGTTGTTTCAATCGGGCTGTCCGTTCCACACACAGCTGCACAATCTACTTGCTGCCTACGTGGCCTATCAACCACACATTGGCTACATCCCTGGCATGTCGCATCTGGCTGCTCTGCTGTTGCTGGTTGTTCCAGACCCGTTTGACAGTTTCGTGCTATTTGCTAACATTCTGGACACCCCTTGTCATCGCGCTTTCTATAACCCGAATGAAAGCGAGGTTTGTTGGTTGAATTTTTGTCACAACAAACAAACGTCGTGCAGAGTCTCAGCCAGCTTTTGTTCCCGAAATATTAGTGAATATTCTTGAGAGCTGCACGTTGATTCTTTTTTGTCGCCTCATATCACATTGTTTTCGTTCGTCGATTGCATGACAGAGAACACTACAAACAAAAACTTTAACCCTGTCACATTTTACCCTGTGGATCTTCAATTCCTAATTTTTTTCGCGATAATTTATATCACTTATCAGATTACTACTCATGAGTAGTCAATTAGACTAAGAAATAATTGTCAAAGGTCATCACCCTGTGAGTCCCAGAATGCGAACAAGTTTAGCTCGACCACTTGTTCCATGTAAGATCACCACAAGAAACGTTACATTGAATTCTCAACCGAATCTCAAGCGTCACACATAAGGAAACTGGCGGATGCATTTGTCGCATCAGGATCCAACTGGGAGAGAGGTTCACTGTCCGGAAGACTTCTAAGGATTACTCTCCAATTCTGTCTTTTACCACCGTACATCTCAATATGTATGCTGTGATAGTGAATCCATTTTTTTTCTACATCAGTTGCTTTTCATCAATCTGATTTCAAATGAAATTATATGAAGTTGTAAAAACACAAATTGGCTAGGCTACTCCCACAGAAGTGAATACTCAGTGTGTTCTGATCATTGTCGATTAAAAACTCTGACCTTCTTTTTGTCCACATCTTGATTTTCACCACAGCAAATTATAATTCATTATAAGACTAGGCGAAACTGGTAATTGAATTTGCCACTTTTTCTCGTAACTTTGTGAAATCCGATGATTATGTTTGAACAGTGAAACTGACCATCGGTTTCATACGTTTGCTCGCCATGTGTAATCCTATTACTCTCCAAAGACTTGTTCTATTCTATTCCGACTGACTTTCTCTCTTATCCACCTGCCATTCACCTCATGTAGTTTGTGGTCTATTTCCGCGCGTTTGATCATCTACTGGCCGATCGTATGCCCCATTTGCATTCACATTTCACCCGAGTCGGGTTGGAACCGAACATGTATCTGTTCGACTGGCTGTTCACCATTTTCAGGTCAGTGCTGACTTTTCAGTTCCAATTGCAAATGGGATTCAACATTCCCGTGACTGATGTTGATTTTTTCGTTCTCTACATTCTTGTTTCAGTCGCACACTTCCGCTGGAAGCGGCACTCCGTGTTTGGGATGTGTACAGCGCGGAGGGCGATATTATCCTGTTCCGTGTTGCACTCACGCTACTGCATCACTTCCAACGGGACCTGATGCAGCTCTCGTTTGATAAACTGATCGCCTTCTTGACCAGCCGGTTACCGTTGGATCTCACGGGAGATCAGTTGGTACGTTTTGTAGTTTGTTTGATGGTTCCCCCTGGTCTCGATCATTACGCACCCTTCTTTCGGGAACATATATCTCCGAGAGGGGGGGGGG